TATATGGTAGAGCATTTTGCAAGGCACTAGGAACTAGGTATTTATTGTTTTGTATTACTTGTAGGGCAAAAGCACAACACCTCTTGCTCCACCTCCTAAGCCTATTCGTAGAAGATTAAAATCAGAGGATGAACTAAGACCAGAAGTTGATGAACATTCACAAAAGACAGGTGTCTTAGCTGCTGTTCTAGCTTCACAACCTTCTATACCTAGGTAATCGAAGCTAAAATTTTTAAATCATTTATCTGGAATCACTTTTTCTTGTTCAGATTGAACAGTTTGTGGTTGTATCAGTTTCATTTGGGTAAAGGTACATTTGTTCTTTGGGCAACTTTCCCATTTATTAGTAGGTGTAGGTTGCTTTAAACATTGTTCCTTGTTACCAGTCCTCTGCTTTCCGTCTCTCCCCTTCCTATCAGAGTCCAAAATGGCTGATTTGGAAAGTTGAGGGAAGCCATTATAGTTCTATTTTTCTACCTCTGTAAGTAAGTCATGGATCAGAATTGTCAAACTTTTAAAAATGACATTAACATTTTAACTATAGCTATTCTAAAGTTCCTTCTCTATGTGTAGTTTTAGGTTCTAGAATGTGGATAGATATGCGTTAATTTGCCATAAAATAGCAAAGAATTTCTGCTATTCAGTATCTGTATGTGCAAGGAGTAGTATAGAATTACTAGGGATGAAAAGAATTTAAAGATAAGAAGTGGACTCTATTTTTTCCCTTTTATCTTCTCAGATCAGTTGGGAAGGATAAGAAAGCTATTCAGGCATCAATTAGACGCAATAAGGAAACCAACACGGTTTTGGCCAGATTGAATAGTGAATTGCAGCAACAGTTAAAGGTAATGACATTTTCTGGGTTTGTAACTATGACCAAAAAATGTAGTATGGTGGTATTTTACTTCTATGGGGGAAACTGTATTTTTTAAATGTTTTTATGAGATGTTGAATCTTTCACAGCACTATGAACGACTATTTTAATCAACTCTTGTATGCAAGCTACTGTGCAAGATAATGGGGGTACAAAGACAAAGCAAAGCAAAGGTCCAGTCCTTAAGGAACTTATATTATACTACAAGTACAAAGATTAATTGAGAAGGGAGAGACTACTAACAAATAAGGAAACAGAAAGGTTTCCCATAGGAGATAGTGGCACTTAAGTTAAGCCTTGAAAAAACTTAGCAATTCCAAGTACCAGAAGCAAAAGAGGACAGACATTTCAGGTATGTGGAACAGCTTCTCTGTCAAATGAATGGAGACAGGAGATGGAATACTTAGTTTGAAGAAAGTAGATGTACTTGGCTCCCTGTTTTACTTTATTATAAGACTGAAAAAAGAAATATTATCCTATTGGGACCAAAAAGATCTTTATAAATGAATATTTGTTTGATGTAATTGATAGAAAGAACTCCTCCATGGAAACTCCCCACTTTGATGTGGATCATCAGTTTATGTACAGCTCAGTCTTGGAGAGTTGCCTGAAACACTGAGTTTATGACTAATCCGTGATCATTTGACTAGTTGTGTCAGAGGGAGTAACTGAACTGAATTTTCCTGACTCCAAGGCTAGTCTTATATCCATTCTACCATGCTGCCAACACTTTAATTCTTTACTAAAAGACTAACTGCTATTGTAATCTATGAGTAGTTGTTTAGACAGAAATTTAAAATAGATTATGTTATTTAAAATGTGAGGAGAAAAAAAAGCATGCCAGATATACCATCTGTGTAATGTACAGAGGAAGGGAAAGAAAGTGACTGAATTTGATGATTTTCTGATTGGTACATAGGACAAGTTAGGTATAGGGAACCAACGGTGATCCCAATGTGGCTGTAAAGAATAAAATTGCAGTATTTATATAAAAATATAATGACATATCCAAGAAAATCAAATATAGCCAGGTTTGATCACTTGAAAAGAAAACTAAGCTGACAGGTTAATTTCTGCTTTGAAAGTTCTTGTACATGTTAATTTTGTGTCGTAGAATTAATCTTGATATGAACAATCCCCTTTTTTCTGATTTTTTTTTTTAATGCAGATGTACTCTGCTTTGGGCAGTAAATTTGTATGTGCAAAAATTTGTATAAACCCTAATTTAAAAAAAAATTAAAATTAAGTTTACATGGGTAACTCTTTTTAAAAATCCTTATAGTAGTTTATTTTGTAAAGTGAATATTCACTTCCTAATTGTTTTACAAATTCATATATTTGAATGTGGTGCATTCTTTAAGCAAGGCATGTTAGTGTTATTAAAAAATGTATTAATTGAAATATTCCCATACGTGTAACTTTGTCACTTTCTAATCTTTTACAGGATGTTCTCGAAGAGAGAATTTCCCTGGAAGTTCAACTGGAACAGCTTCGGCCATTCTCTCACCTATAAGCCAATTGCCGTTAACTGTGAACATACTCATTTTTAATGGGGTATCGGGCTCTCTCTAAGCCAGTTTGAAGACCAGACATTTAGCTCACTGCTCTCTATTCAACGTTAAGTTTTGTGATTGTTTTGTCCTTGTATGTTCACCATTGTATTTAAGGTTTTTTTTGTTTTTTAATTTCAACAATAAAGAGGGCCAGGATGACCTTTTTCTGGAAGGAACGTTGTATTTGTTGCTACTCTGAATCCTTGCTGAGCCCCACCATAAAGAGTACATGATGTTGGTCCATTGTGTTATGTTTGTTTAAGTGGCCAAAACTTTAAACTGGAATTTATGTACATAATGGGCTTCTTCAGCTGCATGTCAAGCACTGTCCACAGAAATGTATTTGTAGAAAAGGAAAAACAGTAAAGAGTAATGACTCTTAGAGTCGTTACTCTTTGGGTTTCATTCTTTCCATATTACACCTATATTTTCTTTCTAAAAGTAGATCATTGAAACAAACTTTCTTTGTAGTCTTTAAAATTGTCAGTACTGTAGTAGGCAAAGCATTCTCTGCCTACATACTAGGTACAGGAAAAGCAGCCTATCTCTTTGCAATAAACCAAATCATTCAGGGTGCCACAGAGTCTTTGCAGGCTGCCTTGCCATATCAACCAAGTTGTCATATTTCCTACTTTCTTAATAACCCTATGGAGTGTAGCTAAAAGTCACCTATCATGTTTTTCCACACTTTTTTGATTTAGCAGAATTCATAAAAATAACTATGATGTAGGGAACCTAGTGGTCCTTTCCCAAGTCTCTTCTGCAGGAAAAAAAAGGAGGAGGGGGCAGAATTTTATCCCTAATATAGAGATTAAATTTTCCCCCAACCATCATTTCTATCTGCATGTTCTACATACTTATCTTTTAATAATTCACATTCACCAGTCTTGACTGTAACAGATTGTCGTATATTATTTGTCAATACCTCTATGGACTTTAATTCCAACAAAAAGTACTTAGGATTTCTGGGTTACTGTCTGTCATCTTGTCACTAGCCTTATTCTTTGGGCATATAGACAGGCTTTACACCATTAACAGAGTTCCCTGAGTGTATCCTACTATTCAGGTTGATGTACTGTATTAGGATTTGTTGTATATTGTATGATACATGCCTTTTGATCTCATGTAAATTTGCTTTAATTGCTGACTAACAGCAGATAATCTATTTAATGGCTTATTCTGGCTGTGGGATCATAGATGTCAAACTGCATGGGTGTATCTCAGCAGAATCAGAACTAGCAATTGTGTGATTTTTACACCAATAAAACAGCACAATATTTTCATTTTTGTTCCTTTCTTAACTAGGACTTATGTAATACCTATGTAAGTGATAGTTTTCTGCATCATGAAATGATACTAATTTGAATTTTCTACCAGTTAGCAGAAAACCATTAATTAGGTTTCCAGTCTTCTGTACCAGTTCAGTCTGTCTACACACTACTGCTGCCTTAGGAAGCAAAAAGGTAATGAAGGTAGCCCTTAGAAATGTGTTATATTTAATTAATGTTCAATAGGTGAAGGTACTACATCTTATTGTATCAGTTTCCAAATGGCTATCCCAGAAGAACTTTAAAAATTTCTTAAGATAGTTTAATCAGAGTACTACAAAAACGTAGACAACTGTTTAGTTAAACAGTAAGTCTATTATCCTGTTTCAAAGACTGTCATCCTAATTTTCTTTTATCAAACAAATGTTAACATAGTCATATTTGGCTAGATTTCTTATTTAGTCATTTTTTAAGTTTTTCCGTGAAATAAAATTAAATAAAAAGACAGGAGGGAGATCTTCCAGGCTGAACTGTGTAATGAAAATAAAATTTCTGAAATGCATTTAAACATTTTTTTGGAAACCTCCCACCTTTTCTCCCCCAGCCCAAATCTATAATTTCTTCTTTCTAGGGAGCTCCCAGTGACAACATTTCTTTTACTAACACAAGATAGGTTATCAGGGGTGGGGAACCTGCAGCCTTGAGGCCACGTATGGCTTCTTGGTCCTTAGTTGCGGCACTTTGAGTTCAGGTTTTACGGAACAAATCCCCTTAATAAAAGGGTATGTTCTCTAAAACCTGGACTCAGTCAAAAGACCACACTTGAGGACCTACAGGGCCACATGTGACCTCGAGGCCAAAGGTTTCCCACCCCTGGTTAAATGACTGACCCAGGGTAGGCTTTCTGTCTCAAAAGGCTGTTTGTGTAACCCTTTGCCGTGTAGCCTTTCTGAACTGAAACCTTTTAACCAAATTCTTGAGATCTAAATTTAGGACTGTATTAACATTAAGAAAACATTCCAAGTTCTTCAAGAATAAATTGTTTCCATTACCTAGACTTCTGAATATTCTTAATGTGTTAGCTTGAAGGAAACTTAAGATGGGATATGCCTGACAGATATGAAGATCTTAAAGATTGATCATTTTTTAAAAATCATAGAATATTGAAATTAGAGACTTTAGAGATGACCTAGTCCAGTGTCCCTAATTTTACAACTGATAAGGCCCTGACATAAGTAGTAAGTGGAAGAGCTGAGTCTAACATCGAGGTCTTTTGACTTCAGATTTACTTTTTTTCTACTATTACACTGTGAATGTGTGTATGTGTGTGTACACTCATGTGCAATAATTTCTCCTGGTTTTGTTACTCATTTAGAGCACAGAATGCAGATTTACTGTCTTCCTTGAATCAATTTGTTTAAAGCATTACAAGTTAACAGTGGTCATTAAAATCAGTTACCAAAGGGAGGGGTCCAAAATATTGAGCTTAATTGTTTACGTTAATTATAATAAATGTTTGAGGATAGATCACAGAATCATAACATTTAGAGTTAGAAGGTGCCATCCTAGTTAACCTTCCATCCAATGAGAGAGTCCTTTTAATATCAGCTCTTAGACATTTAGCATGAATCCTTCCGAACAACTAATGAGTTCCTTTGGTGTTTTCATGTCTAGTCATACTTCTCAATTCTACTTCTGATTGCACTCTGCAACACTGATAACCATACCAATTTATCCTCATTCACTGTTGAACAAATCCATTGACATTTTGGGCCTTGTAGAACAAATGCATTCTTGGTACCTGTGAAACAACAACAAAAAGATTTACTATGAGTTCTGCTAATAGGACTCAAAAGAGATTTTAGGGCTAGTGTGTAAAGATATTTACTGATAATTACAGAATTTGGATTAGTTACTAATCGTTAGCATTTTCTAAAATATTTAATCTGATTATCAAATAGATTATGATATAACAGATTTAAGCCACAGTTTTTCCTAAAAATAGTTATAGACGTGGTTCAGGATCCAAACAACACACACAAAAAAATTCTCATGTATCTTAGATAAGAAATTATAATGAGCATTTTACCAAAGTATACAGTGAATGGGTTTAATTATTACAAAAATCATTTTTCAGAGTATTGTGCCGTACATCAGCTTTATAAATAAAAGGTTAATTTCCTAATGAATACATAGGTAGCAAATGCAAATGTTTGATGAGCTTTCTATAAAATATACATCATAAAATAAATGGATATAATGGGTAGGAAGCTATTTTCATATTGAATATCATTTCAGGTTAGTGTTGAGATTAACACTAATGAAAAAAAGCATGAAATGTTAAAATCGAATGAGTAGTCCTTTGAAAATCCTTTTGATTTCCATGATTTAAAAAAAACAAAAACCTGTCGGTTTAGAGATAAACTTAACTAAAAACATAGTCAACTTGCCTTTGGTAACGGAAGAGAACAATGAGAGATAATCCCAAACATTTTAAAACTAAACCATAAAAAAATGTGTTTATATTTCATATACTACATATATTTATATGTATATATGTTTATATACATATAAATTGTTAGAAACTGACGTTTTACTAAAATCTTGTCTTTTTATAATTAATAATAACCTTCTGGCCTTATTAACAGCACTATCACATCTTCCACATAACAGCCTTTCAGATTTCTTGAAGATGTCTAATCATGTCTTCTGTTAACTTTTTCATCACCAAGATAAGCTTTTTCAGTTTCCATGACTATCCATCATACTCACTGGTTTTCAGATCTCTTACCATCTTAATCACCCACTTCTGTACATGCTTCTGTTGATCAAAATGCCTCTTACAATGTAGTGCCTGGAAATGACCATAAATCTCCAGACTGAGGTCTGACTAATGTAGACTGGGTCTATTACTTTTAATCCGGATTCTGTGTCTATATTAATGGGACTGAAGATGGTATTACTTCTTAAGCAGCTAATCACCCTATTGGCTCACTGTGCTTGTCAACTAAAATTCCCAGGTTTTTCACTTGAGTTAAATTGTTATATGAAAACAGCTTTAGAGCTAGAATTGACTTTAGAAATCACAATCCGAACCCCTCATTTTTACTGAAAAAAACAGGTCCAGAGAGGTTAGACTTGTTTGAGGTTTGGTAGTAAGTGGCAGAATAAGGATTCAAAGTTCCATCCTGTTTAAACAGTTTTTTCTAATTAAAAACAAAACCTTTTTGTTGACTTTTCAGTTCAGCTGTTCTGAGCTGATCCCATTCTTACAACTTTGGGTCACTTGTTAATATTTGACCTTGGTTGTATGTGCCTCTTTTACATGGTGGTCTTATTCCATGATCTGTGCACAGCCTTTTTCAATCTGCAGTCACTGGAAAACTCCCTGTATGGTCAGAGATTTCTTTAGATGCCACCCTCCTTTTTCTTCCTCATTTGGATTTTGTCATCATTGGATTATCAGGATTTAGTTTCTTGGAGCTCTTCATCCCTCTTGAGCCAAATTTAATCTGAATTTTAGGCCAAAGAAATAGTACACTTCTCTTTTTTCTCATTTTTTTTTTTGAAGTTTACATTTTCAGACACCAAGCTAACATGTCTGACTATACCCAACATTCTTCTCTTCCTTTACCATCTGTCCTGAAGATAATTTAGAATTCACTTAGTACTTAGTATTTGAATTCTAATTCTTTGGGAATTGTGAATTTCAAACTGGGATATGAAAATTTAAATTCTGTACTCAAGAAGAGTGAAGACATACATTTAGAGTCTGGGATGTCTTCTATTAGCAGCTGGTGAAGGGCTACCAGTGCTAGAAAGTGATATGTCGTCTGAGTAGTCCTTTCAAACGGGGTGTGAGCTACAGTCCGACGAGAAACAAGAAGTGAGTCATTGAAGAGAAAGAAGCTGAGGTCATGGATGTGTTCATAGAACCTGTGTAGAAATGGGAGAAAACAAGAGCATATATTTAGTTTGAATCTTTCATTGCTGAATCATATTTTTTTTTAATTTAACTAGTACAGCATTTTCCTTACTGCAGACCATTTGAATGTTTTTGTTTGTTTTTGTTCTGATTATTACTTATCTGAGTAATATTCCTTTGTAGCTGTTGGAAAACAATATCGTGGATCTACCAGGAAGGTTCTGGTAGACTCGTTTGAACTGCTGAGTTAATATGCATGTACATATAATATGTACATGCATATAATATGCATATTTCATCAAGAAAGCCAACACAGTAGGACTTTTTCCCATATTTTTTTAAATGGTGTAAGTGCTTTGGATTTTCAATTTTCAATTTTTTATAAAAGTTTGGTAAGTCAGAGGACCTGGCTTCCTGTCATGGTTCCACTACTCAGTGGTTGTATGATTTTGGACAGTCACAGTTTCTCTGAAGTTCAGTTTACTCATTAGTAAAATGGAGTTAATACTTGAACCACCCATCTCACTGTGTTTTGCAAAACCAAATGAGGTACTTTATAACATAAGGAGCTGTAGAAAGGAGTAGCAGTTAATGCTAAAAACTCATGATCCCTAGCTGTCAATGAATATAAAACTGAAATTGTTTATCAGATGAAGTCATGCTTGAAAGCAAACAGGGACAAGAACTTCAATTTTTAAAAAAGTTTTATGAAGGCCTGTACAGTTGGTAAGATTGAGGAGAAAATCATTTTGTGAGGTTGTTAACCACTGTTTTCAAAGTAAGGAAACAGGAACAAAGATGTCAAATGTCTTGTGCGAAGTCACACATATAGTTTATCTAGTACTTTCTTCCTGTTGTGTTTTGTTCATGTTTCCCATAGACTTCTTGACTTAGACTCCTCCCCTAGGGATACAAGCGCACATACAAAAAGGAAATAATATTCCCTGCCTTATTCTACTGGCCTACACTCTGTACTTGAAGCCTACACTTCAGCAAGACAGTATTAAGTTTTGTGTGCATGGCTTGACAGAAAGCTGACAATATACTCAACTGGAGTAAACGTTATACCTCATAAAGAAGAAAGTTTGGGGTTTTCTATTTTTTGCATATTTAGATAATTTGATCTTATAATTGAAGAAACTAAATATTGAAGCTTGAGTTGTAATAACAGAGAAGCTGAATAATTTTCTTCTGTGTTTTCTGATCCTACCAGTTTGTCTGAAATTTCTAGTTTGGTAATCTCCTTCCATCCTTACAGTTCTCTGTCCTACTTGAATGATCATATTTAAAATCCTATAGACACGAAGAGTCATGGCACAATTGTGTAATCTGATTTTTACGTAAAGCAAAAGCTTCATATGCCACCTGCCATATGCCAATGGGAAGAATCTGGAAAGTATCTGGGAAGTGATATGTAATCCTTTCCCTGAGAAAAAGATATATATAAGCACTGATTTCCCTACATTTGGCAGCCGTCATGTTCAGGAATGAACTAGCTTTGATTATTTTAATACAATATTGAGAAAAAGCCTTTCCAAAAAAAAAAAAAAGGAGGGAGGGTTAATAGCTCACATACATTTGTACTTTGACTTCATTTAAAAAAATTTTCCCCACTGAGTACTTTGCACATTAGGTGGGGTGAATTTATAGCATAGACTTCAGTGTTCTATTCCAATTAGATATAAAATTCAGTTTTCTGAGCTTCTGTTTCATCATGCAATATAATAATAGCATGTAATACCCACACCAGAAGGTTGGTGTGATGAAAGGGCTTTATAAACTGTGAAACACTATGACAATAAGAGCCAAAGATGAAGGTAACAAGCCACCAAATAATCTTGCCATTTGACTTTGGGGAAGAATAAGGAGGGATATCTTTGGCCACCCTGGACCAGCCATCAAGAATGCAGAATGCAGAGACTACTGGCCTTAGACACTTGACACTAGCTGTGTGACCCTGGGCAAATCACTTACCCTGATTGCCTCACCAAAAAAAGAAAAAAAAATGCAGAGACTAAAATCATTGCAAATCAAAACAACTCTGAGGTATCACCTCACACCTATCAGAGTGGCTAATGTGACAAAAAAGGAAAATGTTGGATGTTGGAGGAGATGTCAGGAAACTGGGACACTAATGCACTATTGGTAGAGTTGTGAACTGATCCAACCATTCTGGAGAGCAATTTGGAACTATGCCCAAAGGGCTATAAAACTGTGAATACCCTTTGACCCAGCAATACCACTGCTAGGTCTATATCCCAAAGACATCCCCAAAAAAGGGGGGCGGGAGAACCTATTTGTACAAAAATATAGCAGTTCTTTTTGTAGCGACTGAAGAATTAGAAATCAAAGGGATGCCCATCAAATGGGGAATGGCTAAAGAAACTGTGGTATATGATTGCAATGGAATAGTATTGTGCTATAAGAAATGACTAGCAGGATGATTTCAGAAAAAACTCCAAAAACTTACATGAATTGATGCATAGTGAAGTGAACAGAACCAGGAGAACTTTTTACACAGTAACAGCAATATTGTTCGATGAAGAACTATGAGTGACTTGGCTATTCTCAGCAGTACAGTGATCCAAGACAATCCCAAAGGACTCATGATGAAGTGTACTATCTGCCTCCAGACATTGACTGAATACAGACTGGAGCATGCTGTTTTTCACTTTTTTTTCTTTTATTCAAGTCTTCTTGTACAAAATGACTAATACAGAAATGTTTTACATAATTGCACATGTATAACCTATATTTGATCGCTTACCATCTCAGGGAGTGGGGAGGGGAGGGAGGCCTAGAATTTGGAACTCAAAACTTTAAATAAAAATGTTTAAAAATTAAAAAAAATAATTCTGAGACTAAGAGCACCAAAGAATGCCCAATGAATTATATCAGGATTGTCTGTGCTTTATGTTCTTTGTTACCTCAATGAGAAGCTGACTTTCTCATTGCAGTAGTGAAGCTGGGCCACATCTTGTACTCTAATTAGGAATCTGGTGCCTTCTGAGAGAGTCTGTGAATTTAAATACAAAATTCAAATCAGATCACTAATCTACCTAAGAATTTTTTTAAAAGTACCTACTATGTGTTAAGCATCGTGCTTGGTCCTGAGGAGACAGATAAAATATATGTGATCAGTTTTTTAATATTAAAAAGTCCCTTATTGTAGTCCCATTCTACAAACCATTTAAGTTCTCAAATAACTATGCAACTGCTGGCTTGTTGCTTAGTTCCACTTTGAAAGCTATGTTCAATGGACTAAATTATTTAAACATTTAATTCTTAGATTGATCCCAGAATTAGGTGATATAAAATATATTTGGGGAAGTGGATTTCTATTTTAAATTTCTTGGATAGCTTTTTTTGGTGGGGGGTGGGGTGCGGAGATTTTAAAGGGCAAAGAAATGTAGGATGCCATCTTGGATGGAGAGTCAAAGGCCAGTCTCTGATGTATAAGGCTGGGCGATCCTGGATAAAGACTCAATCTCTCAGTGCTCTAGGCAATTCTGTAAGTCTGTAAATTGCAGGGAGTTGCTGACCTGCCCTAGTAAAAGGAATTTCCTCGTCTGGGAGTTCCTTATTATGAATGATATCACGGATCCAGTCTCTATCCCTTTAAAAGCCAGACTGGGCCAGAATGAGAAAAAGTAGTTTGAGGAGAATTCTAGAGAAAAATTTACAGAATGCAGTTGCTTAGGTTAAGGAATAAGACCCCCAACACATGAAAGAGAGAGATAATCTTGCTAATAGAAGAGACAATGCCAGAAATTGTTCTGACCAGTTTGAGTTCTACAAATGAGACTTTTTTTCATTTCCCTGTAATTTTTCTTTTTCTTGCCCAACCAAATGTAAAAACAACTGCCCTGCCCCATCCCACCCAAATGACAAAATTCAATTGAAATCACTAAATGTCCAGCCCATTAAGGTTTTCTCAACATTTACTGTGTAGAGTCGCATGTTAGCTACTGCTTTGGGAGAAAAAATTTGGAGGGGTACCCCCCCCCCAAGCAAGAGTCTGATGGCAGCATAGGCGTGAGGCTCTGACAAGGTTTATATTTCTGCCCCTTTCATGAGTTACTTCTGGGTAGCAGGTCTACGTAAGCTCCCAGAGGCGTTAAGTAGTCATAGGCACAAGAGTAGGCATGTTGGAGTACTTACAGGGCACCCACAGATGCTCCTTTCTATGTCTGACAACTGATCTTTCCTGTTGATGTTTTGTTTCAACTACAAAACAAAGACATTATTTTAGACAAACTCAATAATTGTTAACTTTGGTATTTACGAGGGGAAAATATTCACTACAAGGATCCTTTTTACAGCATTTAGGGCAATACTTTCAAAATCTCAATGAGAATTTTTTTTTTTTGTTCTCAGCCTTATGAGAGAAGCAAAAAAAAAAAAAAAAAAAAGGAAAAACAAGCTCATATTAACTATATGGTTTCAAAAGCAGCTTCCTGAGCTTGTCTTAGCACCTGTACATATTCAGTTCAGTCTCTTATGCCTTCTACAAATGCAGCACTCAAACTATGATAAATAGTCATTGTAAACTCCTTGAGGGCAGAGACTGTTATTTTGCATCCTTGTATGCCCATGGCCTACCAGAGTGCATGACATATATAGTAGTTAATGTTTACTGAATTAATGAATAGGTGAATAATAACCATGAGGTACTAGAAGATTCTGAATTGGTAAACTTCAATGAATCAGGCAGAAAAGTCAAGTAATATATTTTAGAAAGATTTTCTGTAATATGCTCTAGAGGAGAAGGATTTTGTAACTCCTTTTTAACCAGAAAATTAAACTTCTGTCTCCCATCCCAAAAGCTTTCTGGTTAATCAAGATTCTATTGTAATTCATTTGGCAGCATTGGTTCTTACTGGGGTGGAGGACCTGCAGTCTCCAGGGTACATGTGGCCTTCTAGGTCCTCGGGTGCCGCTTTTTGACTGAGTCCATGTTTTACAGAACAAATCCTTTTATTAAGGGGATTTGTTCTGTGAAGTTTGGATTCAGTCAAAGGCTCACACCTGAGGACCTAGAGGACCACATGTGGCCTCGAGGCTGCAGGTCCCCCACCCCTATTTAACTGATTGGGTTTGGGGTGGGGGTGTATTTTGAATCACACGGTTTGGATTGCTTTGCCACAGCATTGTTAGCTTTAGAGAAGTCCACAATCAATTAACACAGGTATTATTAGAGAATTTTCTTTAAAATGTTGATCTTCAAAGAAAAAGTTGCACAGGAACTCAAAGTATCTTGGTCAAAATATCTTTAAATTTATTTCTACAAGATCTAGCTGCCACAGTTACAGAAGATACAGAATCATACACATCAACCAACCTGATTTATGTAAGCTATGTATCTTTTCATTTGCTTGATTGCAGTAGTCAGATCTCCCCGGTCAACATGCTCTGAAGGCGTGTGAAGCCGCAGACCATAGAGAAGGTTAACATATTCCTCAAATCTCCTTGGTGGGTACAAGAGCAACTCCTGCAGGCTACAGATAACATAGAGTAGATCTAAACCGTCTGGAAAGCCCAATGGACTCACTCTTTCTTGCTATTGCCATAGTCATGCTCGCCTCAAAACTCACCTCATCATTCTTGTAACAATGGTCTTGTCCTGCCTCTTCAAAAATGCCCGGAAGGATGGAATCATTTCTCTGCACTGAAAAATGAGAATGACACAACTTAATTTTATTATTACAACTTTGCTGCATATTGCTGCAGCCTTTCTTCCCCATGTGTATGTAATATTTCTAGCCAAATCTAATGAAAACCAGTATACCATTAGTATAATAGAACTCTGCTATAATGGAATCACGTGCACCAGAGGGCTAACTGATCCAACCCAAACGTAACTATGTACAAAGAAAGCCTCCTATAACATAGACACTTCCAGGCTATTTGAGCATTTATTCTTTCTGAGCCAGTTTTCTTGGGGCTAATAATACTTGCAAATGTCTACCTCACAAGCGGTTTTGAGGAAAGCAGCTTTGTAAACCTTGAAGTATAAATATGGGGTTCTTATTTATAATAGATATGCTAGTCTTGTCCTCCAATATTAGTTTAAGTGGGTTCAACTGCACTTTACAAATAAAATCTTCACCAAGTACCTAATCAAACTGGATTCTAGTGCAGGTTTCATCATTAACTAACAGATTGCTTAACCTCCTGCAGTCTCAGTGCCTTACCTTCAAAATATGAGTGAAATTTGCCTTATTTATTCCAAAGGAATACATTGTAAAGGTCAAGTAAGATGACAAATGTGAAAATGCTTTGCCAAATAGAAAGCAAACACAGAGTGATCTGATGATAATGGTATCCAGGGTCAGCCTTAGATTGAATCATGGTCAGTAATGAATCAAGATCCCAATCTAATTAATCAAAAGGAGTTGCCAAATCATTTCCCAAAATGAAAGTACTAGAAATCACAGGGAGATGCATAAGTAAGTGATGAAGTAGCAGGGCCCAAGGCTTTTGCTATTTGGCTAAGTTTTTCACCCACCATAAGCTGCTAAGATTTTAATTGGACATGTAATCAAGTTACTGTGGGTGATGTTTTTATCTAGATAGGTAGATACAGATATATAGATATCCATGCATCATGTGTATGATATATCATACATCAAGTATGCACATGTCATATATGTACAAGCAATCACATATCATATGCACACTTACAATTCTACATCATATGTATATTATATGGTAATACATCATGCACACGTATGTATGTATGTGTGTAATATATGATACGTATAACATATTGCAATATGATCTCATCTATATCTTCTGTAATAACTTACTTCAAAAGTCCCTTTGCTGCCATTCATTGCCTGATGGAATCTATTAAATCTTACTCAAGTTTTGGTTATGATGGAGCTTTTCAAAATGTAAGCTGGTGGTTCTAGTCACAGATATTTTCTACTGGTGGTATATTCTCCCTCTATGATACTGTTCGTTTATTTGAGAGGGAGAGAGAGGGAGGCTCATATACCCATTATAAGGGACCCCAAAGCTGGATCTCCCTTCTATGGGAGCAATTACTGAAGCTGGAAGGAGTTGTATAATATGGATTTTCATTCCAGTGGCAGAGACAAGACAACTGAAGAAAATCCAAAAAATACTATTACCTTCAAGTCTTCTGGGATAACATTCAAGAAATTCCTTGCTTTTTAACATGTTTTGGTGAAACTGAGGTTTCTCATTCTGAGAACAACTGTGCTAACAATAACAATAATAACTAGCTTTTTATATAATGCTTCAGGGTTTGAAAAACACTTTATAAATGTTATCTCATTTATTCTCACAACCCTGTGAGATAGGTGCTATTATTATTTCCATTTTGCAGATGAGGAAATGGAGTCAGAGAAAGGTTAAGTGACTTGCTCAGGGCCACAAAGCTAATAATTGTCTCTGCAGGACTGGAATTCAGGTCTTCCTGATTCCGAATCCAGCATCCTCTCCACTTCACCAGCTAGCTGGTTCTAACATAAGCCCCTTTTATTGGCTTGATTGTGTTGTGGTCATTTGCATGAAGCAATCCAGAAACTAAGGGGAGCCAATAAAGTTAAGGACTACATCTGTGATTGCAATCCTATGAGAAACTCCCAGATGAGAAAATTTGTGCAAGTCTATATCTTACAGAGTTGCCTCAGGGCACTGAGAGGTCAAGTCACTTGCTCAGAGTCACATAGCCAGTATGTGTCAAAGGCAGGACTTGAATTGTCTTCAGTATCATTCTCTAACCATCATATTATGTCTAGAGAAGAATAAATAGAATGGGGGAGGGGGAATTCTTCCCTATTAATGATGATCTTTGACTCAAGGAATCAAAGCTGAAGTTTCTCTTTTAACTCGGAATAACCTTTGTGAACACTTTAATAATTTGATTCTAATGATAATAATGATATTCACAAAGTGCTTTAAGGTTTGCGAAGCACTTTATATATGTTATCTCATTTGATAACTCGCTAATGTCTCCGTCTTGGGTACCTTTTCAATTGTCTTCAGAACAATAGGGTAGTTGTTGAAGAAGTTAGTATATGTTTTCAGCTGAAGTCCAAACTTGGTGAATATTTCTCCCAGGCATTGTGCTGGACCCCATTCTTGGAGCCTCCCTGTCAGTTCTCCCAGAAAATGCCTGTAATAAGAGTTAGACATGACAGGTGAACTAGAACCAAGAAGTATAATTCTCTGCCCACCAGGTAAAACATCAACATTCCAATCTTTTAGTTCACATTTTTAGTAAAACGTATGGCTGATTTTTTTTGTCTTTTCTTTGACTCTGACCTCCAGAAGTAGAGGGTGTGGCAAAAAGTAGAGAGAGAGTGAGCCCCTGAGCTCCTGAGGCGCTCCCTTCCCTAAGAGCTCCAACCCCAACATCTTCAAACATTTAGAGATATTAAGCATCCACAGAGAAAGAATTTCCTAAACTTCTTTTATAGATCCAATGTTTATTAAATCCCACAGAAAGTTCTCCCCGATATCTAATGCAAATTCCTTGGGGGAGGGGAGGTGGGAAGCTCAAGGTCAATTTCTCCTACTCTGTCTTCATTGGAAATGATTACAGTTATCCCTTCGACATCATGACTTTCCCATCGTGGTTTCAATATATCGCAAGTCGGCATAAGAAATTAGATGGAAATTTTTTGGTAGTTTTGCAGAAGCTGCAGATGACATGTGAAAGCCAGCAGAGACACAGAAAAAAGTTTAGAAACTCAGAAATGCATAAAATATATGTTCAGTATTGCATAATATCAACCCAAATTTTATAATAAGATACTGTTAAATACCTAATAAAAGAAAAAGAAAAAAATTCAGATTTCTTCTCTGGTACAAAGGGAGGGCCAAACAATTTTACGTGGATTGTCCAGATTGTGGGGGCACCATGCCCCTAACCCCCACTATGTGAAAAGGATAACTATACTCTCCTTTCAGTAACAACTAGGTGCTCAGTGACGGTAAGGGAATTGTTTGTCAGCCTTCTCTTACCAAACTTACCTTTGCTGCTTTCTAATTTGAGGTTCTTAGCTCATAAATAAATAATGATCTCCCCCCTTTTCTCTCAACTACTTGATTACACTTCGAGAAATGAAGCATGGGTTCCTTTCCACTACACAATCAATATTTTGGTAGTAGGTATCCAACATATACCTGTTGAGATCTAAGACACACAGTATATCAGAGAAGATGATCTGGACATCCATGGAACTTAGGATGGCTCTGTTTGATGCCAGGGCTGCTTTCAGTGGAGTGACATAAACATCTCTCACAGTTTCCAACATCTGTACATACTTTCTCTCGCTTTTCAAGAGCTCTCCAGCAATTCTAGTCCTCTTTTCTGCGAAATCCATCTGGAGCTTCCTTTCCTATGGAAAAGCATAAAAACAGATAGGAAAGTTAGAAGAAAACACACCCTTAAAGGTTTACTATTTCAAAATGAGTAAAGGTAGAGGTAGGCACAATAACTAACCTATTTACAAATTAACTTTTTGCAATGGGAAGTTTTTTAAGTGCAAGATGGGAAATGTTAAGTGGAACCATGATAATACTAACCACATATTCTTATGTACAATCTCTGTCACTGCCTTCTCCAACAACCCCATGCCCAAACAGGTTTTCTTAGGATCATAGACAGATTTAGGAGGAGAAGGGACCACAGAGCTCATCTAGAGTAGAGGTGTGGCTGCAAAAAACTCCTGAGTGTAGGTGAATCAGATTAAAATGTAATTGAGAAATATTTAACAAAATAATTAAAAATATAATGCAGGGGCATGTGAGGGACTGTCTGATGTTGGCAGCCCCACATTGGGCGCCACTTGTACTGGCCACGCCGACCTTCTGCCGGCCGCACGCCGTACCCTCTCCTCCTATAAGGAACAGGCTACCAGAGTCATACTCACTTCCGAGTCTTCGGTCCTCAGCCGGATAAACACACAGAGACGAGCCATCGGGAGGCACCAACACCTAAGTACCTACTTAGCCCCTCCTCCTCAGCCCGCTTACTAGCCAATGATTGTAGGGTCAGATACTGGAAGGGGCTATCTGAGTTTAGCACACCAAGGGGGAGGGAGTGACGTAGGAGGCTAGGACCGGATACAGGGAGGAGGCATCTGGGATTAGTGCATAGACAGAGTACGTGACCTAGGAAGTCAGACTCAGATACTGGGAGGAGGGGTCTAGGGTCAGTGCTACACAAAGGGACCCAGGAAGTCAGGAAGGTCACAGGATGGAGGCGTCTGGGGATGACGTAGCATATAGGGAGGGGACTAAGCAAAGGGAACTCAGTCCTCTGCCGTCCCACTCCCACGTAGCACCGCCCCTTGCCTCAGGAGCTCAAGCTCCGCTACTTCCTTGTACCCAGCTTATCTCACATAGCACTGCCCACTGCCTCAGGGCTTCTCCGAACCCAGCCCATCCCAGTTCACCACGACTCTGCCTACCACAGCCCCTGCCTCGACTTCCAAAATACCCAGATCTTACCCTACTCTTGCCACAGCGCCCAACCTAGTAGCTGCCAACATCAGACAGTCCCTCACAGGGGCAACTAGCTGGCACAGCGGATAGAGTACCAGCCCTAGATTCAGGAGGACCTGAGTTCAAATCTGGCCTCAGACACATAACACTTACTAGCTGTGTGACCCTGCAAGTCACTTAACCCCATTGCCTAGCCCAAAAAAAATATATATATAATGCAGCATAGACAATGTTAATTTATAGTTTTCTAAGTCAGCATGCAGCCTGCAGGAATCCATTTCTATTTGAATTTGACACCATTGATCTACAGATTTTCATATTATAGATGAGGAAAATGAGTCCCAAAGAAGTTAAATGACTTGCCCAAGGTCATATAAGTAGTGGCAGAACCAGGTTTTGAGCCTAGGATCTCTGTCTCCAAATCTTTTCACTGTCCTCTTACCAGATTAGCCTTAATAATTCAGGAATATTATTTACAATATGATCTCTCTACATGGTTCCCATAGTAGAGTTGTTTGTTTTGGGGTTTTTTTTTTTGATGAGGCAATTGGGGTTAAGTGACTTGCCCAGGGTCACACAGCTAGTAAGTGTTATGTATCTGAGGTCACATTTGAACTCAGGTCCTCCTGATTTCAGGGCCAATGCTTTATCCACTGCGCCACCTACCTGCCCTACATAGTAGAGTTGTTTTTTTTCTGAGAAGAGATAAGGACCTTTTTTTCTATAGTCTCTCCCGGTAATCATATCAGCTCCCATAGATTAAATGATCATTTCTATGCAAATGAATCACAGATCTATGTATTCAGGCCTAGTGTCTCACCCTGAGCAACAATACTGTACCTTGCCTATTAACTATTTCAAACCACATTTCTCACATAGATATCTCAATCTCAACATGTCTAAGTCAGAATTCATTATTTTTTTCCTCCCAAACCCACCCCTCTTCCAAATTTCCCTTTTTCTATAGAAGGCACCACCATTCTTCTAATCTCCCAGGTTTATAATCTCAGCATTATCCTCAACTTCTCACTCACCCTCTTCCCACACATCCAAACAATTGCCAAATCTTGCTCTTTCTACCTCTGTTTCCCACATCCAACCATTTCTCTCTACTTACAGAGCCACCACCATAGGTCAAATCCTCATCACAGCTACCTAGATTATTTTGACAGCCTCCTAACCTGCCCCGAGTCTGTTTCCACATGGCGACTTAGCTACCAAAGGTTAAAGTTTTCCTCTTAGAGTTCAAATGGCATAAAATCTTGTTACAATAAAACAAAACAAAATTTAAAAATCAACATGACTTTCATAGATTAAAATTAAAATATAAAAAGTAAATTTGCCAGGAAAACAAGAAAATAAAAATAAGATTAATCAGCAGGCATTCATTAAGTGCCTACTGTTTTAGGAAATGCACTGGGTGCTGGGGATACAAAAACAAAAGGAGAAGTCAATCAGTCAAAAAAACATTTATTAAGCGCATACTATATGCCAGGTACAAAATCATGCAGGTACAAAGAAAGGCAAAAAGACAGTCCTTGCCCTCAAGAAGTTCATGCCATATTGTGGGGAGACAACATGCAAACAATTATGTAGAAACAGGCTATACAGAGAATGGTAAAAAGCTATATACATAGTCCCTACCTACCTTTAAGGAACTTACAGTCTAGCTGGGGAAAATTACATTCAATATGACTTAGAGACACATTCTACCTAGTCATTTTATATAAGTATGTTTGAAGCACATGGTTCAAATGGTAACATAATAATCTTATCTTGGGAGAGTTAGGAAAGATTGCTATATTCCATTTAGTAATATTTAGAAGTACATATCATATATTCCTTATGTTCTTGGATCATTCAAAAATTCTGGTGTTGGTTATGGATTTACACATTCTATTTTTCAAATGCCAGATCACTCAATGTTGTTTCAAGACCTCTCTGACAAGGGGCCTTTATAATGTTAGGAGGAGATATTATAGTATTCAGCCTTGCCTTATAAACTCACTACTATTTATTAGTTACTGGTAGTAGATCTCATTGTGCAAAAACCAGTGCAGACAATAAGGTAGCATCAGTGTAGTGTCTAGATCAACTCGTTATCAGAAATTATGGAAAAATCATTTCTTTATGGCAGAATTAGACAAAATACCATCTTCTATGGTAGGAGGTCCTCACCAATGTACATTTTAAAATAAGAATTGAAATAACAATAATGATTATAATGATAATAATAATCACATTTATATAGAGCTTTAAGGCTTGCCATATATTAACTCATTTGGAAGTTGCAATGATTTCCATGCATTTCTAAGTCGGAGATTACTCTCTGACTTAGAACAAGAAATTTGTTAATGAACAAATTAAAAACAAGATCCATTTATTACTGTAGAGCCAGTTCTTTAAGTTATGTGTCAACATAATGTTGAGAAAGAAAATAAGAGGACTCCTTGACCATGTTCACAAGTGGATAAACCGGCATCTCTCCCTGGCCTATTTCTTTCATGGTTCAGATTTTGCAGAGACTAATATAACCATCATTTCAAAGAAGGAAAAAAAGTGTCTGCTAGCATCTCTTTAATTTGGTTACGTCATTTTTGTTTACTTTTAGAAAAGAAAACTTTCATGCAAAAAAAAAGAACTTCAGAAGATGGAGTAAAAAAGCTGACAGGAGTGGTCACGAGTGGCAAATGGGAAACACACTTACCAAATTAATGAACACCTCGAGTTTTAAATCATCTTCACTAGTCTTTCTGTCCTGAGAATGATTTTCTTTCATATTTCTTTCCTAGAAATTGAATGAACACTTTATTGTATGGGGACAGTGATTGTCATGTTTCTTCTGTTTCCCCACCGTCAAATGCTGGACACATGACAAATGATTTTCAGCAGAGGAAAATATGGACTTGTCCATTGTTTCATTAATTGTATGATAAAAATTTAGGCCAATAAATAAAATTTGTACAAAAATAACTACAAGTTCTCTAGTAAAATCCCTTGGCTCCCTGCTCCATTAAATTATTTTATATGTCAAAACACCCATTCAACTTTTACCATCTTAAGCTTGAGAAGATTCAAACTTACATGGAATTCCATTCTCTCCCATCAGCAAAGACTGACAGAATCACACAGCTGCTAGCCAGATCACTAGCCTGAGGGGATCACACTCATCCTTTGATTATAGCCCTCAACCTCAAATCTGACTGGTGCCTACTTACCAGTTGAGGGCAAATTTGTCTCCTTATTTTTAAGGGAATGAAGGGAAAATCTCAGGAAACTTGATAAAGTCTTATTTATTTTATCTTCCTTTTTTATTAATAAATTTAATTTTAATAAAAATTTAATAATTTAAATTTAACAACTTAAACTTAAATAAAATTTAATAAAAACAAAGACCCCAACTACTGGAATAAGAACTTATTTGACAAAAACTGCTGGGAAAATTGGAGAGCAGTATAGAAATTACATTTAGACAAACACCTCATACTTTATACAAAGATATGCTCCAAATCTATAGGTGACTTAGATATGAATGGTCACATCATAAATGAATGAGACAAACAAGAAAAAAATTAACCTGTCAGATCTATGGAGAAGAGAAGTTTATGACCAAACAAAGAACAAAGAGGATCATGGTAGATCTCATTTCCAAGATATACAATGTGTCCTCTTTTATCTTCTAATGAAAATAATTTGCTGTATCCACTGCAATTACCTGTATCCCTCCTGTCCCTTCATAGAATCATGTCAAGTTTATTGTTTTCTTTAACTTCCCTTAATTTGTTGTTATTTTTGGTGTTGGATGGTGGGTGGAATTGCACATGGCAAAAGTACCTCTCATTTCTTAGAGCTGGCTAATCTATCTGGACCTGGTATTTCCCAGCCATCCTCAGCTAAGCCACACAGTTTAAAACTGTGGTCTAGGGATTCAGTCATTTCATTTGCCCTCCCTACTTGGTGCTGCCCTATGTGATTGTTTCTCACGTGTAATAATGATGGCCAGGACAGAGAGATTTGGTCTGGATTGGACAAAAATGTCCCTACAGGAATAACATACACAATAGGGGTATCGAAATCTATCTTACCCTACAGGAAAATAAGGGGGAAGGGGACAAGAGAGCAGGAGGTTGAAAGAGGGGAGGGCAGATTGGGGGAGGGGATAATCAGAAGCAAACACTTCTGAGGAGGGACAGGGTCAAAAGAGAGAATAGAAAAAATGGGGGGTAGGATAGGATGAAGGGAAATATACTTAGTTTTTCACAACATGACTACTATGGAAGTGTTTTGCATGACTACACATCTATAACCTGTATCGAGATGCTTGCCTTCTCAATGAGGGTGGGTGGGGAGGGAGGAAGGGAGAAAATTTGTAACCCAAAGTTTTAAAAACACATGTTAAAAAAAATAAAGAAAAAAAATGTCCCTACAGACCTACCATCTCAACAGAACTTCTTCCTTACTCAATTTCCTACAATAATGAATATGGATTCAATTGCTCATGGCACAGTCAGAGTAACTTCTAAGAACACTAATAAGTAAAACGTACACCAAAATTTAGACTCATAGAATCCAAGATTTAGAACTTGAATGAATCTCAGAGGCTATCTAGGCCCATTTCCTTATTACACAGATGAAGAACTGAGTTCCAGATTAAATAACTCGCCCAAGGTCACACAGGTAGGAACTGGAAGATCTGGAAATCAAACCCAGGTCATCTGACTCTACATTCTTCTCTCTTCCCACTGTAAGGGCTTAAAGCTACCATACGAAACATAAGCTCACCTGGTCTGGGCAAAAGGTTAACCACACCCATACTGATACATCCCTGTGGCTCTAATAGATTTAGAAGTTCTGAGAAGAACAATGTAATGGCGTCTAGTATTTGTCATCCTATTGTATAGGCTGGCCTAAATTTTTTTCTGTATAAATTCTCTATGTATATAGGCTGGCCCTCACCTCAAACATCATACCTAAATAAGCAAACAAAGGAACCAATGAATGAATGAATAAATACACTATAGCATTAATTAGCATGACTAATGCTTTGTTTCACTTCTGGCTGGCCAGTTGTGTTTTCTGGTGTATCTATCTTTGTTTCTGTGACGTTGGTCTGAGGTTCAGACTGGTTTTGGGAAGTTAGATGTTGATAAACTTCTTCATTTACACAAGACATTGATGTTGATACAGGCTAGGGGTTGTGTTCAACTTGGAATGCCAACTAAAAACATGACACTAGATTTTTGCTATTACTGAACACAGTAGAAGTAACATTGGCAGTGAGATGAGCACATTTAGAAGAAAAACATGAAAGGCTTGCATGAGTTTGGCTTGGCCACCTTCAGTCATGTTTGGCCATCATGGGGTTTCTGTAAACACACTTTCCAGCCTCCATGGGAATGATAAACTAGAAGGTTATCTTCCAGCCATCCAGGCATGCCCCATAGTTTTTGGTGATCTGTCTATTATTGTTGCTAGTATTAGGGGGACAGTAACACGCCTGCTCCATAGTATGTGACAGAAAGATTTCTCTGATTAGTGGCTCAGTTACCATGGAAACTATTGCCCTTATTTAGGTGCAATCTGTAGTGTACACATGACCAGTATCCAGGGGTAACTGCCAGGATGAAAGTCACTGTTTTGACAATTATCCTCTGGTTAGGCAGATGAATCCTTTCCACTTCCCTCCTTTAGTTTTAGAACATTTCCTGACACTCCCGGAAAGGTCTTTAAAACACTTATCTCAGCAGGATATATATGTTCCCACTGCTGTAAGAACAATAGTTTTTACGAAGTGGTGGCAGGCCTAAATGTATATTAAAAAAAACCACTTGGCAAATGCTTCCCATTTTCTTCTGTACTCCCCCTTGGAATATCAGAGGAAAATCAACAGCTAGTTGCCAAAACTCTTCTTGGTCAACAGGCCGTGGTGCCTGGTTTTGTCCAAATGGCTCCTGAGATCCAAGAATCAGAGACATAAAGTGACTGGCAAACAAATGGAAATCTAATATATGTTTGACTAATTTGGTAAAAGGTCAAAAGAAATCCTCAGCATTAGGGAGTTTAATATGCTTTTGGCTGTCACAGGCATGTTAAGGGAGCAGAACGCCAGGAAATCCTGCTTTTTAACAATATAGCATTTTTTGAGCTCCAAACCTTTGTTTTAGAGCATCAGTGGGTGATTACAATGGAATAAATCTCCTTAGAGTGTTCAAAGATGTAGGCCTGCTGCTGCTTGAAACGACACTGGTTTATGACTTCAGAGGACTAATTGTAAGGCATTCTTCTGTCCTTTATGTGTTATACGAAAAGAATGAGGGCCAAAGTATTGACATGTTTTGCTTAATTATATTTCTTTGTCATAAGGAAGAGTTTTATTAAGGGAATACTCAGGGAGTGATATTTATATTAAGAAAGAATAGTCAACACAATTTTTTTTCTTTGGTTTTTTTTTTTTGGTGAGGCAGTTGGAGTTAAATGACTTGCCCAGGGTCACAGAGCTAGTAAGTATCAAGTGTCTGGTCTGAGGTGAGATTTGAACTCAGGTCCTCTGCCTCCAGGGCCGGTACTCTATCAACTGCACCACCTAGCTGCCCCTTATCAACACAATTTTTAATAGAAGACATTGATTACCATCACTTCACTTGAGATTTGGTTTGAAGGAGAAAATGGCTAATAATAATAATAGTAGTAGCTAACATTTATGAGGCACTTATTATGTTCTAGGCACCGTGTTAACCACTTCATAATTATTATTTCATTGATCCTCACAACAACCCTGGGAGATTGGTACTATTATCATTCCCATTTTACTGATGAGGCAAACAGAGGTTAAGTGACTTGCCCAGAGTAGCATAGCTAGTAAGTGAGGCTGGATTTGAATTCAGGTCTTCCTGACTCCAGGTCTGGAACTCTATCCACCATGCCACTTTGCCGCTAATGTCAACTTGGAAGGAGGCTTCCAGTGGAGGGCCCCAGAGATCTGTGCTAAGAGTTGCCCTTTGGAAGATGGAGTAGACTTATTCTGTTTCATCCCAGTGGGCATAACTAGGTATAATGGCAGGGGTGTGCTAGAACCAGTTCATAAGAGCTAGAATACTGTTAATTTACACTTCAGAAATCAGCAGACACCACAAAGCAAGGCTTGATTTATTGTTTTGTTGATTGTCTAGATTTAAGAAAGTATTAGAGAAAATGTTAATGAACATAAAAGTGTGTTGTGTGTATTTTTTTTTTCTGAAGATCTGGTTGTTAAATGTTTACCACTATACCCTTGTGAAATGAGTAGAAGTTACAGAGACAGATATAGGTTTGATGTCAAAAAAATCTTCCTAACAGTCAGAGCTATCATCAGAAGTCTTTAAGCAAAGGCTTGTCAGATATACTTAAAAGGGGATTCTTTACCAGGTGTGGGTTGGACAATAAGTCCTATGAGATAGATCCTTTCCACCTCTGATATTCTGTGATTCTGTAAGCCCAAGGATAAAAATATCTTCTTATAGTGGTTACCCAGAGGCATAGGTCATTAATTAAATGAGGTTTTCTTAGCTCACAAATTTCATCTGCAAATAAGCCCTTCAAAATGACATGGTATTATAGGTTTTTTTTTTTTTTTAAACATTTCCCCTCTAAGCCTTGTAAAAAGCTTTGACTACTAGTAGCACCTAGTAGCTGACATGAAACAATTAAATTTTTACTGAAAATTACAGAGAGAATGAATACCACTTGACACTACTGCTAAGTTGATTAGTTCTTTTTCTTCTGGGAATCTAACTGCAGAACCTTCTAAAAAAATTTATTGGTGGTAAGGGAATAAACATTTATATACTGCCTACTAGGTGCCAAGAAATGTGCTAACTGCTTTTTACAAATATTATCTCATTTGACCCTAAAAAGGGAAGAATATATATAAACATACCCAGTTGGGTATAGAAATCTATCTTACCCAACTGGGAAATAGGAGGGGAAGGGGATAAGAGATATGGAATGGGAAGGGGGTGAGGGGGAATGGTAAAAGGGGATTAGGGGAGGCAGTGGTCAGAAGCAAAACAGACTTTTGAGGAGGGACAGAATAGAGAGAGAGAGAGAGAGAGAGAGAGAGAGACAGAGAGAGAGAGACAGAGACAGAGACAGAGACAGAGAGACAGAGAGACAGAGAGACAGACAGAGAGAGAGAGAGAGAGAAAGAAGATAAACAGAAGAAAGCTGGATGGAGGGAAATAAACAGTAATCATAACAGTGAATGTGAATTGGATAAGCAAACCCATAAAACAAAAGCATATAGCAAGGTGGATTAGAAACCACACTCCAACAATATATTGTGTATAGGAGACACCCTTGAAACAGAAAGACACAGACAGCTAAAAAATAAGGGGCTGGAGCAGAATCTATTATGCTTTAGCTGAAGTAAAAAAGGCAGGGGGAGCAATCCTGATAGTGGGGCAGTGGATAGAGGGCCAGGCCTGAAGTCACGAAGACCCATCTTCTTGAGTTCATATCTGGCTTCACTTATTAGCTGTGTGACCCTGAGCAAGTCACTTAATCCTTTTGCTTCAGTTCCTCATCTGTAAAATTATCTGGCGAAGGAAATGACAAACCACTCCGGGAGTTTTCCAAGAAAACCCCAAATAAGGTCACAAAGAGTCACACACAACTGAATAATAACAACAACAACAACAAAAACAACAAAACAATCATGATCTCAGACAAAGCAAAAGCAAAAATAGATCTAATTAAAAGAGATAATCAAGGAAACTACATTTTGTTAAAAGGTACCATAGACAATCAGGTAATATCAAGAAATTTTACAGCAAGTTTCTCTTTTCTAGAGAAAACATATTTTCAAATATGTGGGGAACTGAATCAAATTTGTTTTGTTTTTTTTTTTTTAGTGAGGCAATCGGGGTTAAGTGACTTGCAAGTGTTTGGTCTGAGGCCGGATTTGAACTCAGGTCCTCCTGACTTCAGGGCCAGTGCTCTATCCACTGTGCCACCTAGCTGCCCCTATCAAATTTATAAGAATAAGAGCCAATCCCCAATTAATAAATGGTCAAAGGATATGAACAGGCAGTTTTCAGAAGAAAGCAAAGCTGTGTATAATCGTATGAAAAAATGCTCTAAATCACTTTTGATTAGAGAAAGGCAAATTTAAACAACTTTCAGGAACCGCCTCACACATATCAGAAATGACAAATGTTGGAGGGGATGGGAGAAAATAAATACATTAATGAATGGTTGGTGAAGTAGTGAACTAGCCCAACCATTCTGGAAAACAATCTGCAACTATTCCCAAAGGCTATGAAACTGTGATCCAGCAATACCACTACTAGGTCTGTACCCCATAGATATATAAAAAAAGGAAAAGGACCTTTATGTACAAAAATATTTTTGTGGTAGCAAAAACATGGAAATTGGAGGAATATTCATTAATTGGGGAATGACCGAACAAGATGCGGCGTATGATTATGACGGAGTACTATTGTGCTGTAAGAAATGATGAGGGGAGGTGGTTTCAGAAAAACATAGCAAGAACTATACGAGCTGATGCAAAGTGAAGACCATCGTGTGTAGGAATAGCAATGTTGTAATGATGGTCAACTGTGAAAGACTTGGCCACTGTGATCAATACAATGATCCGAGATAACTCCAAAGACCTCATGATGAAAGAATGATATCCACACTTCCAGAAAGAGAACTTACGAACTCTGGATACAAACTGAAATCTGGTTTTCTCTCTTTCATTTTTTTATGATACGGCTGATGTGGAAATATATTCTGCATGATTTCATATGTATAATTGATATAATATTATTTGCCTTCTCTGTGGGTGGGGGAGTGGTGGCAGGGAGGGAGAGAATCTGGAACTCAAAATTTAAAAAGAAAAGAATGTTAAAACTAAATAAGTAATAAATTGGGGGTGGAATGAATGGATGGTAGATTTCGGATGTAATAAATACTGCTCAGATCTCACGACAGCTCAAGCAAATGTTGCTTCTTTAGGATCTCCCAGTTAGAGAATGTGATTTGAGCTCTTAGGAGAAATGGCATTTCTGAAAACACGCCGAGGGTTATCATGGTCACCGGGCAGCAGCAGGATGTAATAGGATCATAGCTCTACAGCTGGGAGGGAGCTGAGAGGCCAGGCAGCCCCTCATTTATTGGATGAGAAAACCAGAACGTTAGTCCCTTGTTTATTAGACGGGAAAACTCCGTCTGAACATCGGAAGGCCTACATTCTAGTTTGGTAATCTTACTTGCTATGCCACGTGATCTCTGTTAGTCTCAGTTTCCTAATATTTCAACCTGGAATAGTAATACTTGCAATACTTATTTTATACGTTTGTCATGAACAAATCACTTTGTAAATCTCTAAGCACGATTACACATAAAAAGTATCATCATCCAGGAAATGTACGATTAGAATAGGAGGTGGGCTGGTTATGTAGGGATGGCAAATGGACAAACCCAGGCTTGTTGGCACAGATAGAATATTCAAAGACTTAGAGGAAGGTCCCCAGCAGCTTGGGGAGACACACTACTCCACTCCAACTGTGAAGGATTTATGGGAGGACACTGAGCATTTATGGGAGACAAGAATCCCACTGGATAAAAAGTGCAGATGGTTTGTAATATGCACCCTTGGAGAAAAATCCCACATCAATGAGATCACAAATCCACCGAAGTAATGAAGTATGAATTAATTATCTCTGGGTGCCTTCCTTTACAGAGAAGAGCATGGGAATTTCATCCTCCTCCAGTGTCTGTCTCTTCAGAACAGATTGCAGTTGAAGGACAGAAACAGCTTTACCTTTGTTAATAAACTGAGAGTTGTTGCATCACATTTTGTCGAGATAAAATTTCCATCAAATTCTTTGTTCTTTTTGCTAGATTTCTTCAGCAGAAAATACGACAGATATTCTAGTGGATTTTCCTAGGGGGAGAAAACACCCAGAAAGGAATCCTTGTTTAAAACATTCATCATCCAAAATTCTTTGTTACATATAAAAAATATGAGGCAAGGGAAGACTTTTTTTCTTGGCTTTTTGTGTAGTGCAATAAAATATCTTTAGAAAACAATGATAGTAAAGGCTGTTATTCAGCTAGGTCAGGAAATAGTGTGTTCCCTTCAATAAAAGTACCAGCCATATCATTGTTTTCTAAGTTCAGGTCATGATACAACTTAGGGTAACTTGGGGCTTATAGAAAAGTGTCAAAGCTTTTCCAGAAAAAGGTCACATTTCTCATTCTTTATGGGGGGAGGGGGAGGAACAGGAAGGTTTTTCTAGGGAGGAACCCCGGAAGGAAAGGCTGTATCCAGGTCCAGTCCTTTTTCCACCAATTATACATACTTCATACATGTACTGCTGCTCAGTCTCCCAAGGAATGTAAATGCGTGTGTGTGTGTGGAGGAGGAGAGTGGAGTTGGGTTGAAACAAGTGGCCTAGGACTCCCTGTTTTGGTTTCTGTTTATGTGTTAAAGTGCCTCAATGTGCTACAGTTGTCCAGTTTGGGATCATGGCAAGAACAGGCTGGAAGCCATTGAAATATGCCATTACTCAGTTACCTATGGTTAAAGAATTCAAAGGCAATGAAGTGCACTTTACTTTAAAACTATTCTGGACATAATTTTCTTTGGTAATACAGCAATGCCTCTGGGTCATCATTATGAACATAAATTACTGCCATAGCAGCAAAGCCCAGAAGTGGCAGTTAATAGGGTTCTAGTTGATAGAATGCTAGATAAGTCATTTATGGCTTTGTGTTGAAAGACTAATAAATCACTCCCAACTGCATTTTTACAGGTTCAGCACAATATGGCACCAGAAAAGCAATTTTGAGAGATTTCTGTTCATCTACCCAAGAAATCCATCACCTATTTAAAAAATAAATTAGTATCCTATCCAAGCTCTAGCTGAAATTGAAGCAGATAAGAGTTAAGTGAAGAACAAGGAAAAAGTTAAATTAAACCATGGACTTGTAGAGTTAAATTACTATTATTGAAAGGAAGTGTTTGAGAACTCATTTTTGTTTGTTTTTTGGACCTGTAATTCATTATTATCTGAACTCCTTCTTACTCTATAACCCTGGTTACTTCATTGTAACTAGTAGTCTTAGAGAGTTGTTTACTGATGTCATCAGTATGACTTGAACCTGAGTCTGCAGGATCCACAGGCAAACACCTATTGATTATGTCGTGCTGCCTCTCCAAGAACTATTTCCTGAAAAATCTAAGGGAACTAAATATATATAAATAATATTCATGGAAACATGAATACCTTCCCTCTTCTCCCCTCCTTCTCTTTACTAACTCCAAATTTAGAGCCTACCACTTGATTTTCCTCTCAGCCTTTTTATTTTCTCTTGGTGTTGCCTGAAGTTGGGACTCCCCTTGGCACTTCTGACATTCAAATGGGCCTCACTAGAAGCCAATTCTTTCTATCCTGGATCTGATGAGATTTAAAAAATTCTCTTCCTTCCTAACACTCAACACCATCTCACTTAGTTCCTTTCTCTTTGTGTTTTGCTTTCCTTTTCCAAATATCAGAGCCTTAGCTTTCCTCCCCCTAAACTTTTTTCTCTTTATGTTTCTTTTCTTGTCTAGTTTCAATCATTACCCAGTTTCTCCTATATTCTCTTTATTCTCCAGTAAAGGCTACAAAGCTACTACATTTACCTCTCTTCTAAAAAAGTAAAAGGCACTTCTGATTAGAATCAAGGGCAAGACAGAAAAGGGTTCATCATATCAATGATTATGTTACCTAAGGAATTTCAGCATAAGCTTGCTTGTAGACTTGATGCAGGGAAGGGTTCAAAACTTTTTAGTCATTGCCCTCACAAGATGACAAAACATCTCAGATGAAGACAAAGTCATATTTTATTTTCAGGTTAATCAGTGAAGGTCCAGACATGTTGACTGAATCAATCAATCAAAAGCAAACTAGGTGTGAATAAGTCCTTAATCATTTTGAAAGAATCGTTAAGTCTTTGGACCATTGGAGGAAAGGAAATCTCTTTTGATTGGTCAAGAGAATCAGTCACACCCTTTGGGTTATGTATGAAAACAGCAAGCAAGTTCAGAGCTAGTGAGTTGCCCTCCTCTCCTTCCTCTCTATTGACTACATGATGACCTTCTGAACTTTGAAAAATCAGAACATCTGGAGTTCCCATCTGTGTCAGGAGTCCTTTCCCTGAAGTAATAGTGGCTGACAACAGAGTCTGAATTCATAGATGGGAGACCCAGTAAACACACTGAGGAAAGGCAGCTTCAGGGAGTGTCTGGGGCAGAGAAAATAGGAGTCTCTAGAAAGGCACTAATCCTGGGATCCCAGCCAGATGCTAAGAAAGTTCTCTGCAAAGTAAGAAAAGGATTCCTGGTGATCAGAAGTTGTAAGTTACCCCCTTGCCACATGTATCTATCGTGGTACTACTACTAAGCCTACTCTACCCAAGGATATTCTGTGTGTGTGTGCAAGGAGAGACCGTGCCCTTGGCTTGGGGGTATTGTTTTTGTAACAACTGTGTCTGGTATACCTGCTAAGCAAGGTATACCTTTCTAAAAGTTAGTTGAAGCTACTTGATTACCTTTTGGAAGCATGCAGGTTGGGGCTCAGAATCAGGATTAAGCATTTAGGGTTCAGGGGCTCATGAATGACAATCTGAGAAAACTCCCATCCCTCAAAATTCCCCCTAAAACCCTGAAGGGGGAAGTAGTCATTTGCTCCCTGGGAACCCAGCTCACCAGTGTCAATGGAAATGAGGGAAGTGACCTCAAAAGGATGCTACAGTAACAACCATTTTTAAAAAGCTTGGTTTAAACATTTTTCATTTCATGTTTTTGTTTCCATTTGATTGTTGATGTACGTTTTATCCCAGTAAGCACTTACTGATTTCTCCTTTGACAGCTCAATCAATCCTTCAGCTAGGACCTGAGCTGTTTCTTGATTGGCTAGAACATTAGCAAGGCTCAGAGAATCAAACATAAACTGCCCTGCAAGGTAAAAGGTCATAAACTACATTAGTTATTTAAATGGTGTAACTGGATTTTGTAACTGGATTTTAAGGCATAGTGGATAGAGCTCTGGGGCTTCAGATATTTACTAGCTGTGTGACTCTGGGCAAGTCACTTAACCCTGTTTACCTCAGTTCTTCATCTGAGCCGGAGAAGGAAATGGCAAAACACTTCAGAATCTTTGCCAAGAAAAACTCAAATGGGGTCACCAAGAGTTGGACACGACTAAACAACAATAACCCACAACCACAACAACCAGCGACAACCAATGTCAACCAACAACAACACCCTGATTTTTGGTGAAGGTCCCTGTCCACCTACAGGAAGGGATCTTAAATAAAATCTGATTAAATAAAACATATGCAAAGGGAGGCAGGCAACTAACTGTAACTTGAGAGCTCCTGTTTTAGTGGAGAGAAAGAATGCACAGAAACCAAGATACATAGATACAAATACTACTACGCATCACTTTACAGAATCAAAACAAAAATGAGGACAACCAACTCTGGCAATATATCAAAAATACCCATTCTCCAAAAGTCAATACAAAATGAAATGGGTAAAGTTTTGGAGAAGAAAGAAGGGGAAGGAAAAGCAGGTACAGGAAAACAAATCAGTAACCTAACATTTTGATTCTGAGACATGGCCAAAATCCTTCAATTTTTTCTACATATTTGTGCATAGGAAACATCTTAAAAAATCAAATAAAATATCATACACATTCTTGTTTTTTAAAAAGAAAAATAATGTGCTTAATAACTACATGTTGCCTTGCTTTAAAAAGCAAAGCATATATATGTAGTTTTATATACATAAATGTTATGTATCTATGCATATATACAAATGGTTTACTACATTTAATGAACTGAATTTAATTTCCAGAACTATTCGCACTACTTCTCATTTTCAGTGTATGAACAGCATTTTCTCTTCCTGGTATAGGACATTATTTATGTTAAAAAGTTTCACTTCCACTCTTCTCTGGTATTCTAGATGCAAGACAGATCACAATACAATGTCACACCTATTTTGCACCATCATTTTCATTTAAAAAAATTATTGAATATCCATTTGAAAAGCAGCACTGTGGACAGAGAAGAAGTGGGATATGCCCCTGCTTTTGAACAATATAAAATCAATAGGAAGGGAGGAGCCAGGATGTAAAACACTTGTTGGGAAAGATAAGTTAAAGACATACATACACATAAATCTGTCACAACGCTTGTACACATTTTCCAAGGAGACAAGTGGCGTGTAAGGTACACAGTAGAAAGGAGTTGGGGAAGGGAAGAGCAAAGGAAAACCAGAACTTTAAGGAACTCAGTTTAAGCTACTTGGGGAGAAGTCAGGGAAAGGATTGCCTTGAAGAGAGAGTTAATGATGAAAAATTTGTTGTTTAGGTGAAAGAAAAAGCTTGGGGTGCCCCAGATGAAGTTCAAAGTGGAGAAAGAAAACAAGATTCAAAGTAGAACCAGTGAAGCTTGTAAATATTCATTTTTTCTGAGAGGTTTTATCCATAAAAATTAATCATGGGACTACACTGGAGCATGAATTCAGTGAAGTAAGATAAAGCCAGATGGTGCTGGACCTCAAAGTCCACAGTTAGAGAGTGAATTAAAGTAACTTCATTAGGGGTTGGTATGATCTGAATGGTGCTTGGTCAAAATGATTTGTGCAGAAATAGCATATAGGACAAACATGGTGGGAGAAGGACAAAAGAAAAGTGATTAAGGGATAAGAGTTGTGACAGTAGAAATTGGGCCTGATCAAATACATTTATATAATCTTATAAATCAGGCTGGATTTGAACTCAGGTCTTCCTTACTCCAGGCCCAGTGCTCTGTGCACTATAGTACCACCTAGCTGCTGGATTTCAGAATCACAGAATCTCAAAATTGAAAAAGGACTTCAGAGCTTATCAATTTCCTTATCTGCAAAATGAGGAGGTTAGACTAGATGATGTCTAAGCTCTAAAATTTTCTCTTTATACTCTGATATGACTCTGCTTAAAACCCACCTTCCCCACTGATATCCATAAATTCTTTTTTTTCCCAATTTTTTAATATTTTATTTAAAGTTCTGAGTTCCAAATTCTATTCCTCCCTCCCTTGCCTTCCCCCTCCCTGAGACGGTAAGCAATCAGAATATCTATAATTTAAAATTATACCTACCTTGATTGCTCAGCATTTATGAATTAGCAATTTATGAATTATGAATTTATGAATTTATGGGGCTCTTGGACCATAAGGTGGATTAATGAGAGATGAATCATTGCATTTCTAGGAAGCAAAAGGACAGATTTGGGGAAGATGTGGTTAAGCTTGTAGTAGCTCCTGCCATCACAGCTGAAGGATTTCCTTGAGCAGTCCTTAAAAAGGAACTTCAGTCCTGGAGGCTTAAGTTTCTACTTGGTTCAGGTTTTAATTGTTCTTTTATATTCTTACCCTTGTCCTACTTACATCTGGGTCTTGTATTTATGAAATAAGAAAGAAATCTTTAGTCGTCAAAGTGGTTCTTAATGGGGTGTGTATGTGATAGAGGCCTATCCTCAGAACAATGTTTTTAAGTGTATAAAATAAAAAATAAAGGAAAACAATTATATTGATGTAAGTTACTAAAATTAAACATCAAAGTTCATGGACCTAGGGCAGCTAGGTGGCACAGTAGATAGAGCACTGGCCCTGGAGTCAGGAGGACCTGAGTACAAATCCGGCCTCAGACACACAACATTTACTAGCTGTGTGACTCTGGGCAAGTCACTTAACCCCAATTGCCTTGCCAACTCCCACCCTACTCCCCCCCCCCCAAAAAAGTTCATAAACCACATGTTAAGAATCCTTGGCCCATGACATCCTGATTGCAATTGATTCATGTAAAAGAGAGGGGGAAACTAATTTCAGGAATCTATTTACTAACCAATAATTTCGGCTAGATGGAAACTCACCAAGATAAAAAGCCAGGATTCAAAAGAGGCAGCAACAGATAAAATATGGAAGGGTAGAGCAGGAAAAGTAGAGGATATAACTATGCTGGAGATTTTGCTGCACCCAGAAGCAAGCAGTTTTCCTTAACTGTAATTTTGGTCATAATATTTCCTTACTAAGTAACCCGATGAGACTGTCATTTCTCTTTCTGTCAAATCTCTACCATCTGCATCAAAGCTGTTCTCCTTAGTTCTCACTATATTGCTCTTCAGATGAGAATCTATCATTTTACCAGGTTAACTGGCTGTTCTTTCCTTATACGAGGCCTCAGAGGCCTTTAGCTTTCCATACCTTCCACAGTGAATTCCTCCCTTTTTAGAAGTATGGGGGAAGGTACAGCAAACTGATCCTGCAGCAGGAGACTTGGATTTCAGATCTGTTACTAGGTCATTGTTAGATATCAAATGACTTATATAATAATAATTCTAATAACAACATTTATATAATGCTCACTGTGTCAGGCACTGTGTTAAGGGCCTTACAAACATTTTCTCATTCGGTCCTTACAACAACCCTGGGGGATAGGTGCTATTATTATCCCTATTTTACAGCTGAGGCAGACAGAGGTTAAATGACATTCCCCTGGGTCACACAGATAGTACAGACTTGAGGCTGGATTTGAACTCAGGTCTTCCTTACTCCAGGCCCAGTGCTCTGTGCACTATAGTACCACCTAGCTGCTGGATTTCAGAATCACAGAATCTCAAAATTGAAAAAGGACTTCAGAGCTTATCAATTTCCTTATCTGCAAAATGAGGAGGTTAGACTAGATGATGTCTAAGCTCTAAAATTTTCTCTTTATACTCTGATATGACTCTGCTTAAAACCCACCTTCCCCACTGATATCCATAAATTCTTTTTTTTTCCCAATTTTTTAATATTTTATTTAAAGTTCTGAGTTCCAAATTCTATTCCTCCCTCCCTTGCCTTCCCCCTCCCTGAGACGGTAAGCAATCAGAATATCTATAATTTAAAATTATACCTACCTTGATTCCTCAGCATTTATGAATTAGCAATTTATGAATATTATGAAGATAGAGCACATTATTAATAAAGTTCTATCCCATTCTTTTAGTTTTATAACTTTCACATGGTCTCACCTGTTCTGTGTTTTTCATGTTCATTTGTTGTGTTTGCCCTTTTAGAATACACATTCTAGGAGTACAGGGTCCCTATCTATTTTCTTTAAATCTCCATATAGTGCCCAGCCTAGAGCAATGCTCCGTTCCTAGAGGATACTCTACCACACGTCATTGTCCCATTGAGTTACAAAATGAGGGATCACGTTATGGCAGAACTTCAGAGCAGATGCTGGCTTCACTATTACAGAGAAGAGCACAAGATCTCAACACATATTACCTGAGGATAGCTGTAAGGGAGATAAAAGACATAAGGGACTAGGTGACACTAAGGAGGCTGAAGAATTCATTTTTACTCAAGATTCTTTCTAATCTGATCTACTTTATTTACAAAATATTTTTCTTGCTTTCTTATTTTAAAAAAAAAATCATCCTAGACATGTAATAATGTATTTTGCAGCAAATCTGCAACAGAAACGGAGAGAAACCTTACCAAGAATCTTGCCACTGATGTTTCTTTGCAGCTCCTCAAAGTGAGGCCTCAGCTGCTTCCGGACTGATTTCAGGGTCTCTTCCAGGAATTCCGTGAAGCTGTGCCATGTCTGGAGCTTGCGGTCACAGAAGTAAATGGAAGGGGGGGAAGTTCCTTGCTTCTGTCCCAGCCAATCACTAAGAACTGACATTATTTTCTCCTCTTATTTTCAATGACATGGAGTACAGAAGGGATAATTTAACCTCTTGTTAAAGGATAGCCAAACACAGTTTACACTGATGTCTGCTTTATGAGCGAAATGACAGAAAGACGAACTGGCTGATATTCAAGGGTGAACTCAGAGATATCTTACATGCCTATCTGTTCTCTTCATCAGGGTCACATTCAGAGACCTTAGAGGTCATCTAACTCAGTCCCCTATTTTACAGATGAGGGACGAGGCCCAGAGAGGTCCAGAATGGCCGATGAACTTCCTTCCTACTGACCCCACCTCACATAGCAGCTAGGCCTTCGGAGCCATCCAAAGGAACAGAGCATGGGGAGGGGGCTTGTGATACTCTGCTCCAGTGCCCTTGACCAGAGATGGCCTCCTAGCTAACTGTTCTGGGCTAGATGGCAGCTTCCCTTTTCCAAATGCAGGAAGTCTTGTGAGAGGGCAACCTTTGTCCTTGCCCTAAATGCAATATGGCTTTGGAGGCTCCCAGACAAAAGGTGATGACAGGTAAGGGGGGGGGCAGGGTGATTTTAGGGATGGAGATTTTTGCTGACAAATGTTTCCAACGGTTCATTCAGTACAGACAAGAGACTGAAACTCTTTTTTTTTTTTGATTGGGCAATGGGGTTAAGTGACTTGCCCAGGGTCACAGAGCTAGTATATGTTATGTGTCTGGGGCCATATTTGAATTCAGGTCCTCCTGACTCCAGGCCAGTGCTCTATCCACTGTGATACCTAGCTGCCACCTAGCTGCCCCCTAGACTGAAACTCTTTCCACCGGACAGCAATACCTCACACTTTGACATAAAGCAATAGGATTAAAAGGTTATATTATTTTTAATTTAATTTTATTTTTTAGGCAACTGGGGTTAAGTGACTTGCCCAGGGTCACACAGCTAGTAGGTGCCAAGTATCTGAGGTCACATTTGAACTCAGGTCCTTTTGACTCTAAGGCCAGAGCTCTATCCACTGTGCCACCTAACTGCCCGCTTATCTACCTTTTTTTTAAAAAAAAAAAAACCCTGTGGCAGCTAGGTAGCACAGTAGATAGTGCATCAGCCCTGGAGTCAGATGGGGCCTGAATTCAAATCTGATTTCAGATGCTTACTAGCTATGTTACTCCCCAAAAAAACAACCCTGGTTGTTGTATTTATGCCCTGGTTTTTTGATATAGTATTCTATCAAAGAAAGAAAATAATCCTGTCCATACTAGAAATCATCATGTCCATGTAATGCTAATAGTAATGACTTGAATTCTACTGATGTCTCATCAAACAGGGTTTAACCAGGGATAGTTTGATAAAGTTGATATATTGAATTAAAATGACCTGTGATTTCAACATCAAACAAACTTAAGGTCCATTTATTTTTAGTTAAATCCAAATGGAAAAAGACAGCATGGTACAATGGATAGACCCGATTTCAAATCCTGCCTCTAACACATACTGACTGTGTGACTCCAGGTCAGACACAACTCTTCAGTGGTCCAGGCAACTCGGTAAGGCTTTGCAAGCTACACTGGTAGAGCTTGAGTCTTCCTGCCTCCACGTGCCTCCTGGCTGCATGAATCTTCTCCCAATGTAGAAAAGGGACAGTATTCCTTTAATGAAAGGCTAAATTAAAGTCATTTATGTCAGCAGTAGCTAGTTGCCATTTAAGGTATGGATCTGTTCTTTCTCTGTGACTGCTCTATTTTGAGATTTTTCCAAAGGGGAAGTTGGGTGAGGTAGGTGAGGAATCAGTCCCTCATCCATACTTACTGTGTTGGTAGGATCCTGTTGCTATCCCTGTGGGGGAGCTAAACATTGTTCCAGTCAACTGAGACAGCTGGGAAAGGACTTTGATGCCTGCCTCTGCAAAGTCAGAAGTACTTCTATTAGTTTACAGCCTCTGTCAGGGAACAATTAAATATTACTGAAAAAGTACAGCGAGATCAGGTCAAGTCCATTAATAGTTTTCTTTCTCAATCCAACTTAGGAAGCCAAGACCAAAAGCTTTCATAGAGTTATGTTTCAAGGCTGAACACAAACACTTCATTTCTGTTTCTGCTTTTCTAAGTCAAAACATATTTTCCTCACTTTTTTTCCCCAGGAGATATGTTTGTTTTAAATTTTAGGAAATTGAAGTAGATTTATTTTCAGAGTAGATGTAGCTATTAGACATTTAAAATGGCCTAATCTAAGTTTGATTTAGTGTCACAAAATTGACCAAACCGGTCAGTTTAAATCATAAGCAAGCATTAGGGTTGAGTGCAATCAGTAGTCACAGCTTACAATATGTTTCCTTCCCCAGGGTATAATTGAGTATCTTGGAAATTGAGGTAATTACAATCACGTAGCCTAAGACATTTCATTTTCACTCTTTCTATTAATGCTCTACTAATCAATGCTCTAAATGGTTGCAGTTATTACACAGAACCAGCAACCATGAGTGGACTCTCACTCCTTTCTTTAGTCTAAGTGTCATTTAGTCAGGCTTATAGCTTTCATCTCTTTGTTCTCAAGAAGAGAACTTTTTTTTTCAATTCATAAGACTTTCCGTCAGTCCAGAAAATGATTTCTAAAAGTTAAATAGGTCTGATAAAAGTCTATTGGTCAAGCAAAATATGAATAGACTCCACCCACATTCACAAAAGTTAACTCAGTCCTTTCTATTTTCCTCCTCTAATTACTCTGTGAGGAAAAAAAAAAGCATCTAGCTGCAGCTAATAAAGTAAAGGCTTCCCCCAAGAAAACAAACAAAAACTGAATAGAATTAACAGACAGAATGTACTATGATTATTTTAGGGCTGATGCTTAGCTTTCAGTAGATCTGGCCTGAATTATTGTAAATATTCTACCTTTTGTAGGGCATTGCTGATCTACATTTAATAGGTTTTGAAGTATATGAAATATGAAGTATATGAAAATATGTTATGTATCAGTAGATTGAGTGTCCTTCCCACTCCCTTTCCCATTGGTTGCTATGCTAGAAAATCTAATGATGCGCTTCACGTATGGTAGAAGATGCTGCTTCCAGTTCACGGGTCTCTTTGGACAAGGCTTCTGAGAAGACAAGATGTGCTTGAAGGAAGGGAGTGGAGAAAGGGAGAATTTTTCCCTACCTCAGCCTAATGGCCAGGCTAGATTCTTCTGGGACCCTAGTCTCCAAGTAAGTCATGGATTCAATTAGCCAGGTTTGTCCCAAAGACTCCTGGTTGCTTTCTCCTCCTTTTATATTTCCTTTCCTCTATCACTGACCTTGTGAACATCAAAAGGTCCTGAGAGGCCTCCAAGGGCAAAAGGCAAGGACAGTGTTTACCAGGACAGTTTCAATAAAGTAGCACTGGCAGGTTTGGGCTTCTGACAAGGAAAGTACTTGCATCATTGATCAGACAGACCCCTGGAAAAACGAGCTCACTTGGTGTTTGACTGCATCATGCTCAGTGGAGGTGAAATGTCAACTAACTAATTAGCAATCTTGCAAAAATGTTTATATCCCAACAAGGCTTAAATATGAGCCTTCCAACCTTCTGTAACACCAGGGATAATTTACTGTATTGTGTTCTAATCATTCTATGATTCTTTATTACTTAGTATTCCCTTTTCTGTGTAGGAGTAAATTACCTGTTCCATACTTTCTTCATTTTTCTCCGTTGAATGTTTTGTTTTTTTTTTGAAACTTTCCCCCTTGCTGGGGAGAAGCCTTGGACTTCAAGCCCATTTTGGTTCAATCCAAGTCTAGGATGGTGAGAGTTCTCTGGAGTGGGCATGGAGGATTGGGTAAATTTCATAGAGAGAGGATAGGCAAAGCGCCACTTGGGCTTTTATCGACATCCTCTCCTACTTCACAGCTCTGCTGGGAAAATTGTGTAATTCAGTGAGTAGAAGAAGGCAAATATACATGAGGCTTCTTTGTAGCCTACAAGTTTTTGCTTTCTCTCAGTCATTACTAAGAACAATATTTTCTACTTGGTCTCATCCCTCTCTGCAATTCAAATAACTCAGCATTAACTGTATAAGGAGGAAGAGAAAATGTTCAATGAGTAATGACTTGACCTCATTCCAGAGTCTTTGTTCCAGGAAACCAATGGGAGTAGGGGAGGGGCATTTTCCATGCAGTGACTACCAACCTGGTCATCCATGATCCTCCGCTGGCTCAAAGAGCTACACTCAGACTTTTGTTGTCATAACCCCCTCTTCCAAGGGCTGGCCTCTTCTATCCCTGTTTCCCCTCAACAAATCTCTAGGACACCACAGTCTGACTCTTTGGGAGAAATGAAGACCTCCTTCTCCCAACACAACCACACATGGTTGGACCATCTCTCTCTTTCTATCACTGTACTCTCACCCCTTGCCACTGTTTCTTATGTCAACTGTTTTTGCCCCAGGTGAAAGAAATTGCTAATTATGGCTCTGCCTCTGCTAACTTCATAATTTATAATTGTAAAATGGGGCTGGGATGGCTTTATTCTAATTAGAGCTTGGCAAAGGCTAACCTGATGCTGCGAGAGGGACAAAAATATCAACATGACCGCCTTCTTCTTGAGTAGCCACACAACTTCCAAGTTTCTCCCAAAAGTCTCGTACCTCAGGGGTCAGCACATTTTCAACACCAATTGTATAGCCTGATTAAAAAAAATACATTTAGGTACAATATCACAGCCAGGAGCTTTGTTTTTGCATTTTATCACACAGGAAAGAAGCAACATTATCACATCATTGAAAGTCATTTTACGACTCTCACTCCATGGGAAACGCCCCAAGCCAACTCCTGTGTCTAACATCATTGCCAAAATGTGTGGGTCATATTAACAGATCAATCACTTATTCACTCAGCAAATATTCAGTCAACGTTTGTTAAGTACCTACTCTGTACAGATTAGGGACTAGGGGAGCATGCAGAGGTTACATATACTAGTATCCTTTCCCACATGGAGTTTCCAGTCTATTAGGGAGATAATGCCACTAAAATAAACAGATCTATGGTCTTATCATATGGAAGCACAGAACATGGACCATCAAGGGAAAGGCCAAGGAGAATATACCCTGAGTGTTTACTGGCACTCCTAACTCATTCTTTGTGAATATCCATGGATTTCATCAATGTGGATGTCACTCCCAATGTTGTTATTCCCATCCATTTATGACTATCATGTGTGACTCTTGTCCTTTTCCTATATAAATTTTTCCTATATTTTCTTTGTGTTATATCACAAAATCTATGAGTTGGGAAGGACCTCAGCACTCATCTAGTCCAACCCGTACATGATAGAATATCCACCATAACATATGTACCTGACAAGTGGCCATCCAGTCTATGCCAGAAGACCTACCTTCAAGGAGTGGAAGTCTACCAACTCTTCAGGCAAACCATTCAAGTTTTTGATCATTCTGATTGTTAATAAATTTTTCCTGATAACAAGTCTAAATTGAACTCTTTGCAACTTCAACCCATTTCTCTGGTTCTGCCTTCTGAAGCCAAACAGAACAAATTTAACCATTCCTTCACATGACAGCCCTTCAACTACTTGAATACGGTAATCATTCCCCCTTAGTGAAATTATCACTAAGATAAGTCAAGAAGTTATTAATTGCTTTGATTTTGAGAGGGGTGAAGGAGAGAGACAGACAGACAGCTACTGACATACAGATGTGGAGCTAGCTCTTCTTGACTTCTGAGAGACAAATGTTAAATTTTCAGTGTAAACCCTTAAACTTTGGATCAGCAAATACTAAGTACAAATAAGGGTTTGATTTATTATTTTATTGATTGTCTAGACTTAAGCAATGGAGGAAATGTTAATAAGGCAGATTAAACCTGAAAGTGTATCATACATTCATTTTTTTTCCTCAGAAAGCTGGTTGTTACACTTTTATCAGCATACCCCTGGTTTTATCCCACTAAATCTTAATGATACCTATGAGGTTAAATTTGCCCCTTGTGTTAAGACTTCCAGTTCTGCTTGTTTGCTGCCTAAACTTTAGGTATTTGTGTATAGATAGTGGAGGCCACAGGTTGTATTCTTGAATCCTTCCTTGGGTTTTGACTTCTATGAATCTCTTGATATTTCAGCCATTAGTCTTCCTTCTTTGAAGCTACTCCCTATGATGTCTAACTTTGAGGATATACACACACAGGCAGTGTCTTTCCTTTCCCATCCTTTTTAGTTTAAAACTCCTTTGATTAGATTTGCAAGATGCCTTTTCTTACTCACCATGTGCTTATCCATTGCCCTCAATGTTACACTCATTTTTAACCTTTTAACAACTGTACTGTCCCCTAACTCACAATCATATACTACAAGTAGAATATTGGCATTAAAAATATGGGCCTTTATTTTCTAGAAGGTGAGAGCTTTGAAGTTTCCTGAAAGCAATCTGGTTTTCTTCCTTCTGTTTAATTCTTTGCCCAATTTATTGTGCACTAATACCATCTGTTCAAGATTTTATGTATACTAATTTATACATAATTCTATATGTATAGTACATACTGATGTATCATGTAGTTCTATAGGTTGTCTAACTATAAGTCATAATCTGGACAAAAGACATTCACTTCTTTTTTTTATTATGAGGAAGGCCAGGCCAAATTCTTTTGATTAGTTATCAAACTCTTCCAGGAAGTTCTACAATATTCCAAGCTTTGATGCAACCAGAATAATGTCAAAGGGAATCATTCTTCATCATGGACTCTGGGCAGGCTCTTCTCCAAGGTAGTGGAAAATACTTTTGGTATTTATGGTCTTATGATTTATCTGATATTGATGATTAGAGGATGGTCAAACAAAGCTATTGCTATTATTATATCTTTCAAGGAATTTTACATAATTTTGATATATGAAGGGAAGATATCTTGTTAGAGTGTATTTAAGGTGGCATTTTACTCCACCAAATGCTTTAAAAAAATAATTAACTAAAAAAAAAGTACAGTGGAATTTTGTCTTCTTTAAATCTTTCATTCAATTATATGGTAGTAAAGATAGGGCCTACTGTGGAATATCCCCTGAGAAAGTCTGCCTGTCCTCCACTCTGTACTTTAATCAAGCATGCCGTTGATGTACGTATAGATGATTCTCATAAACATTTTGTATAGATGGAAAAGTAGATATGTAAGTCAGAATGTTTGGTGGGTTACCTTTTTTGCTTAATAAGGAGATTTTTTTTCCCCATGCCTTTGGTATCTTCTCTTCTTTCAGATACCTTTTCTGTTGCTTTCACAATAATGTTATCTCCTGCACATGTAAGCTTGTTATAATCCAGTCACTTTCCCCAACTTTGTTCCCTCTAGTAACATTTATATCTCCTTTATAAGCACTTTGGGGAATGTGATGTTAAAATTCTAGTTATTATAACAATTGTCCTTCATGTTTTAAAAAGTTTTATTTTTCATAAAAATCTTTGCTAATCTTTACCATTTTTCTTCTATTTTTTGCCTTCCTCTCGTTTTCATATTTAAATGACCTTGGGGTGATTTTGGTTATCTAGAATCACGATTTTAGGCCTATCTTAGCTTATGCTTCTAGAGAGTTTGCCATTACTTCAAAGGCCTATGGGTAGACTAGGTATGAGGAGATTTTGCTAACCTGAAGACATTATGAGTAGGAGAAATTTTCTTTCCCATGAGAAACTTTGCTATCTTTAGGTAGAACATTGGAAAGCACCTGTTCAACTGGTAATACTTGTTCTCTGAATGTTCTAATCATGACATGGTCATTGTGTCTTCTCACTATACCTTCATCAACCTCCTAACTTTGTACCACCCTTTCCCAGATAACTTTCTGCACTTTCATTTAAATTTTATCATATGCAAAGGTTATACAATTTTAGCCATGCTCTAACTCAAGAAGGAGCTTTTTTTTTTTTATGGTGCTAAGATTCCATGTGTGTGTGTTTGAAATGCTTTCTCCCTTATAGCTTTAAATTATAAAGAATAATGCCTTTGTTAATCCAACACGGATTAACTGAATCAATTCTTCAATCCTTTTTTGTATCTCTAATCAAGCTCTAATCAAGGTTTTACCTTCCACATTTCTCTTTTATTTATGAGAAAACATTACTCACAATCTTCTACTAACCTTCTTCATAAGATTTTTACCAATGAATTTATATTCTAAGCCATTGTGACCTTTGGGAGGCAGTCTGGTACAATGGAAAGAGCCCTGGCTCTGAAGTCAGAGGACCTAGGTTGAAGTCTTGCTCCTGATACTTGCCAACGGTGTTCTTGGGCAAGTCACTTAACCTTCCTTGGCCTCAGTTTCCTCATTTGTTAAATTACTTAAAATTAGAAGGGAAATGGGTACCTGGGAAAAAAAATCTTTTAAGAAAGTTTCTCTGATAAAGGTCACATAAGCAAGATATACTAGGAGTTGATGCAAATTTATAAAACTAAGAGCCATTCCCCAGTAGATAAATGGTGAAAGATATATAAACAGGCAGTATTCAAAGGGGGGAAAAATCTAAGCTCTCAACAACCATATGAAAAAATGCTCTAATTCACTAAATAATTAAAGATAAGCAAATTAAAGGAACTCACACCTATCAGACAGAGAAAGATGACGAAAGGAAAAAAATGACAGACATTGGAGGGGTCTATGGGAAAAACAGGTACACTGATGTACTCTGTTGGTGGAGTTGTGAGTTGGTCCAGTCATTTTGGAAAACTATGTAGAACTATGCCCCCAAAGTTGCTAAATTATAAATACCCTTTTATTCAGCTATACCATTATTAAAACTATACCTCCAAGGAGATCAAAGAAAGAAGAAAAGGGTATACAGGTACAAAACTATTTATAGCAGCTTTTTTCGTAGCAGCTAAAAATTGGAATCTAAGGGACTGTCCTATTGAGGAATGGCCAAACAAATTATGGTATATGAATATAATAAATATTATTGTGCCATAAAAAATAATGAGATGGACAGTTACAGCCAAACTACAGAAGCCTCTATAAACTGGTAAAGAGCAAAGTAAGCACAATTTATACAATGTATTGTATAGAAACACAACTTTGAAATACTTTAGAACTCTGGTCAATGAAATGCTAAACTGTGAAATTATAGGATTAAAGATAAAACCCATCACTTTCCTCCTGCCAGAGAGGTGATGAATTTAGAATGCAGAGAGACATAAATTTTCAGTGACAGGCAGTGTGGAAATTTGTTTTGTTGGACTATGTATGGATATGATGCATTTTTTTAGATAGCTTTTCAGATTCTTTCTACCCCCCAGATCTATGAGCCTGTATCACTTCACTTCGAGAATAAGTAAAGCGTTTGCTGACTATAGAGTTGTTAAGCTCTTTTGATCTCCTGGCAATAGGGCAATTGATTTGTCAGTTAAACTTCCTATAAAATTTTTATAATATGTTTCTATATCATTTTTTATTCATATCCCATGTTTCACAATCAATAACTTGTTTGAATAGATCAGGATTAGTTTCTATTGCAAACTATATTTTTTCATTTTTATTCATTCTTCTTTATTTGTATTAATTTTGATCTTTGCTTTAAGAAGTTAGTGGTCTGACTATATACAAAGAGCTGATTCAGGAATGATTCTCATCTCTTATCATTCCTGGCTCCAACTCATTCTTTTCTTGAAGAACATATTCATGATACATAGTCATAT